AATAATTTATTTTTATTTTAATAATATAATATAATTTTTATAAAGATAATAATTAAACATTATGTTAGAACTCAATAATTATCTTAATTATATTTCATATTTTCTATATTTAAAATGGATGTATATCCTGCGTTTGATTATGTTTATCATAAGTTAGTTACATGAATTTAAAAATGGAGCTTTAATAAGTTGTACTTACGTAAAATTACTTGTAATCTTAAATTTTAAATAATATGCATCAATAGATAGTACTTCATGCATAAAAAATGGGTTTTAAGAGTTTTTGTCAAATGCTTTATAATATAGTATATATAATTTAATTGAAGTTTAAAAACGAACTAACTTATTTTTGGTTTAATAAAATAATTTTTTAAGATAATAATTAAGTAATATGTTATAACTCAATGATTATCTTAGTTATAATCTAAATTTTTTATATTTAAAATAATGTGTATCATGTATTTGATTATGTTTATCCGCAATTAGTTATACGAATTCAAACATGAAGCTTTAATAAGATGTACTAATACATATCCTACTTGTAATCTTGAATTTTACGTAATATGCATCAATAAACAGTACTTTATGCATAAAAAAATGTTTTTAAGAGTTTTAGCCAAATATTTTATAATATAGTATATAGATAATTGATAAAATAAAGTAGCTCTTAAAATTGAATATAACTTTTTTTTAAACTTTTAATATTTTATTTTAAAAATTATATTATAATCGACTTTAAAATTTTTTGTACATTGACTTTTAGATTTTGTTTCTTGTGGTCCAAAAAGTAAAATTTTATGACCAACTCTTAGGGGCTGTTTGTTTGGCTCTTAATGGTGACATTAAGAGTCAACCTCTTAATCGGTAAGAGGTAAGGTCTGTTTGGCAAAAAACAACAATCCTTTTAATGGTTACAATAACATCTTAACCATTTTGCATCCATAGTTTCACTAAACCATTCAGATTGCATTTGTTCCCTTTTTACCCCTCCACACCACTCTTCCAGCCATCCCATTCTCTCTTAACGTCGCCTTCACGAGTCTTGTTCCCTTCCCCAGGTCGGCCGCTTGTCACCTCCCGAGTCTCTGTCGCCTGTGACCACCACCGTCTCCATCGTCGGTCGCCTTCCACAGCTTCGCCGCTCGCCTCCATCAGGTATCTTCTGTCTCCAAATCTTTCATCTATCTTCTGTTTTGGATGAAGAAATCGCCGGTCGCCAGTCGCCGGTATGCACCACAGTAGCTTCACTTGAACACAATAGGATATATTTGGATGATTTTGGTTCTATCGCCGGTCGCCGGTGTAAAGTATTTTATGTTGTATGGACTCTTTTGTGAATTGGATAACCTTAATTTGATTAGAATGGAACTCTTTTGTCTCGAGGGTTAAAATGGTAATTTATTGTCATTCAGAGAACAGTTACCAAACAACATTATTTCACTCAGCACTTAACCATTCTGCCCCTCTTAACCATTCTGCCCCTCTTAACCATTCTGACCACTTAACCATTCTGCACTAAATCATTCAGCAACCGCCAAACAGCCCCTTAGATTTTATATTGTAACCATTTAAAACACATGTTTTATAATATACTAATAAACTGATATTACTTTATTATTATACCTTATTAAAGTAAAATCATTATTAATTGTATATAAATAAAAAGTAGTTATCTATATAATTTCAATAATTACATTTAAACGACGATTTAAATATGTAAAACACAAAATTATTAATAAATATATTAGTTAAACAAAAATAAAAATGATGTGAAACAAATTGATTTTTATTGTCCCGGATTGGCTCATTAAAAACACAAAAATGGTGATAGATGGTAGGCATGAGAATGGACATTGATCCACCTAAAAACCCGGTCCACCCATCTTGATTGGGGACAAGGATTTCCCGTGAAGACAGGGACGAGTATTCTCGTTTGTCTCAAACCGGGGATGGAGACAGGGATGGGTATCATACTCCCATTCCTGTCCCGTACCCGTTATATATATATATTAATTAATAAATTATATATATATATATATACATATTATTTATTTTAACTAAAGCGGTAATTAATAATTTCATATTTCCTAACTAGGTTTATAATCTAGAATTGTTATTTTTTGGATGTTAATATGTAATATTTTGTATATCAAGTCAAAGTACAATTACTCAATAAGTTTTGTATATTACTCGATATGATTTTATATTACTCAATATCTTTTGATACATGTGACTTTAAGTTTTTTTTTTGGATTAAATTGATTATTTTTTTTGGTTTAAGGTCATTAATTCTTATATGATGTTGTGAGTTTTTTTGTATTAAATTAAATTCATTTTGATTTTAGGTTTATTGAAAATGTTTGAGATTAAAACATGTATGGTCTCTCACATATTTAATTTAAAATAACTTATATAAACGAAAAATAAAGTCATCGTTTCCCCGTTGGGGATGGGGATGAGGGGTAGTCCTCTTGTTTAACTTTTTTTTTACAAGATCACCAATGCCTTTAGAGCGTGTTGATTTTTTCCTAGAAGTGGTAAATCTCGACTATGGTATAATGTAATACATATTTTTATAAAGGTGAGGGTGACCCTAGGCCAAGACTCGCTTTGCCCATGATGTTATCATGTTACGATCAAAATAAGAAAACGTATGACTTTCATACGACATCTCATGCAGTGTTCTCATTATGAATCTATCTTGTATACAAATTCACCAACTTGTAACCACAAGGGTGGTGCCTGACTGGTTTGAGTTCGGCTCCAAAGGTCAAAAGTACCAGAAGGTCTCAGGTTCAAATATAAGAAGAAATAAAAATCCCCTTGTGGCCACAGAGGTTCAAATGCGATGACTCCGGGCTATTTGCAAAGCAGATGTTTGCTCTGGGATTAGTCAGCTCGCATAGCGGGTTGGATATCCAGGTTAATCAAAAAAAAAAAATCACCAACTTGTATCCAATACGGTTCATTAAACCACAACTAACATCCACTAAATCCCAATATGATCCGTTAAAGCCTAATACGATCCATTAAAGCCCAACTAACATTCTCTAAAGCCCAATAGAACCGTTAAAGCTCAATACGATTCATTAAGAAAAGAAAAGTTTAAAAAATTGGAGAAAATGAAAATCCGCAGGAAATCCACCGGAAATAGATAATTCTTTTTTTTTTTAAATAATTATTTATCCGCCGGTAAATTGTTGTAATTAATTATTTTTTAAAATTCGGATAATTATTTCCGGCGGATAATTAGTTATTTTTTTAAAGTTAATATCCGCCGGAAATAGTTATATATATATATATATAATATTTCTTACTTATTTTACGGCGGATTTTAATTTACAAAAAAAACAATTAATTATCCGCTGGGAATCCGCCTGTAAATTGTTGTAATTAGATTTAAATACAAGACTAAAATGAGTAATTATGAAATCCGCCGGAAATATTATCACAATAAATTTACCGGCGGAAGTCAACATAAGTTGACTTTTTTGTTGCCCTACGGAAATCCGCTGGAAAATTTCCGGCGGATTCCGGCCGCCGGAAATAGTCATTGTTCTAGTAGTGTCAGTTGTATTACTTTAATCCAAGTCTTAAGTAATACTTTGATCAGGGATGTCCACGAATCTTATTTTAGAGTTATCATCATGCTCATATATTAAAAAAAACGAATTATGTAAAATGAATAGACAATGCCTTTTATTAATCACAATTAAATGTATACAATCGTTAGATCAACTCTGATAAACTCAGTGATCACAATTATTATGGACATCTAAAACATGACCCATGACAGATGAGATATTTCACCACATCCCCTTGTGCATCAACTACTACGTCACAATCTTTATGGTTGAGTGACCTCCTGCTCTGTGCTAAGAAAAGCGCACACACACAAATTATATACATGTTTGATCGAATCACTTTGCATCGTTGTATTTGTAGTATGTATTATTTCAAACTGTTTTATATGACGTTTCATTCGTTTTGTATGAAAATGATGCGATGTTTTATTCATTTCATGCAAAAAATTATATAATATTTGATTTAAAAAGTCACATAAAATTTGAAAGTACGTTTATTCAAATTTTATTTTAAAGAATACAATTTCAAAATATATATTTAAGAGTTCACACTTTAAAAGTGCATATTTAGTAATATATAATTTGAAAATGTCTTTTTTGAGAATCATACTCCAAAAAATACATTAAATTTCACCTATATAAGTTAGTGTAACCACAAGGGTAGTGTCTGATTGATTTGAACTTGGTTTCAACAGTCAAAAGTACAAGGAGATCACAGGTTCAAATCGAAGGAGAAATAAAAATCTCTTTATGGCCACAAAAGTTCAAATACGGTGACTCCGGGCTATTTTGGCAAAGCAGATGGTCACACTGAGATTAGTCGACTCGCATAGCGGGTTGTATATCCAGGTTAATTAATTTTTTTTAATTAATATTAATATTAATATTAATATATAAGATATAATTAAAAATAATTAAGATTTAGTAATAATTAATTTTTATTGATAATTAATATATATTTTTATAATTAAAAATAATAAATGATAATTAATATTACAATCTTTTAAAACATCATTCCTAGTTCCTACTATCGTTTTAATAAAATAACTTATATAAAAATTATAGTTATTTATTTCTAATACAAAATTATTAATTTGATAAAAAAAAACAAAAAGATAGAATGCCACGTCACCAACTATAAACGACTCTCTCTGGTGGGGGGCTATTTTGAATCTCCATGTCTCCTTCCATGGAAGAACGTTACTGAAAAACGCATTGATCGCTATCAAGTTTTCACAATAAGACACACAAATCACGATTATGAAACGTTAAATCTCACCATTTCCAAGCAACAATGGCGGGTCTATATCCATCTATCAAACCCAGTCCATCTTCATCATCATTATCACAATCTTCTCAGGTTTTCGCTTCCAGGATTTTACTCTTACTCACACTCCTTCCCCTCTCTCTAGCAGCATTCGCGTTCGTCCTCCAATGGCGTGGTGAAATCAGTGATCCGATAACCCGGTGGTCGTCGATAAATGGCCTTGAATTTCCGGGTATGGATATAACCACCACCTCCAAAGTCACCACCCCCACTTCCTCCAATTGTGCGGATATATTGGGCCAAAGCCGGTCCATTTCTTTTCCTTACTTTAGGGATTGGAAATTCAATCTCGAATCCGATCTAAATCCAAAGGTATCAATAGTTAGCATCTATCGATTATCTCATTGATTTTGGAAAACTGGATTGATTTTTATGGGAATTCCTAATGTTTACGTACAATACCTAGAGGCGTATAATTTTCGATTTCTTTTTTTTAATTGGTATGAAATCAAGGGTTAATCAAGTAGGATCACCATTCGATTAAGTTAATGAACTGGAGAAATCCTCATATCTGACTGATGAATTTTGAGCTACACTAGCAAGTGTTTTGGTAGTCTCATGCAAATAGTTATCATCATGCATGATGCCATAGATAGTTACAGTGACTTTAAGGCTCCACAAGACTAATTGGTCATCTGTAATTTGTTGAATGGCAGATATGCATCACTTCAAGCACTTCAGCTGGCCTAGAGCAGATATTACCATGGATTTTCTATCATAAAGTTATTGGTGTTACAAACTTCTTCTTGTTTGTGGAAGGAAAAGCTGCAACCCCAGGTGTATCTAAAGTTCTAGAGTCCATTCCTGTGAGTTTAATTTGGCTATGTTCTCCTTGGCAGTGCTCCCTTAACTTCAAAGATTATCTTTTGTTATATATATATATATATATATATATATATATCATACTTCATAAACTAGTTTATGTCCATCTTATTGCAGAAGGTGAAACTGATACACAGAACAAAAGAACTCGAGGAACAACAAGCCAAGAGGTTAGTTTTGATGCATCTACGCTATTAAGCACTGATTCTTGAGTTGGAGTCACTACAACAAAATTGGCTTTATAGGACGCCAAAGATATCTAAATGTCCTAATAGATTGCTTTATGAGACTTATGTTTATAGGGAAAAACAATTGTGAATTGTGCGTCCTACATAGAAGTGTGACAATATGATGTTGGGATGTAGTTGTACATCCAAATAAGTTTTTTTTAGGACACTTCTGAAATAAAGTGTCCTATTTGCTTTCTATATGGCACTTGTTTTTTATAAGACTAACTAGACACTTTATTTCGAAATTGTATTAAATAACTTGTTAGGAAGCCCAAAAGCTTCCTGTCAAATTATCATAACATCTTTACAAAATTTGGTACTATGAACTTAGGTCTTATAAAGCAGTCTGTTAAGGCATTTAGACACAATTTGTGTCCGGTAAAGCAGATTTTGTTGTAGCAAGTGTCTTGTCCGCATCGGATGCAAATTGGGTACAGTTGCAGCCAGATATACACCAGGTCCGAATTTGACTTGGGTGCGGGTGAGACACATACTTGACTTGTTCCTCTAAATGGCTTGCTCATCTTTCTCGTTTTTATTTCTGGTTTCAAGTAATAATACCTCCACATCCAGAAAGGAAACAAAATGCTTCACAGGAGATGCACACCCGTTATATGCTTCCTACTTTCTTCGAGTTTATATCATGTTTTTGTGCTTCTAGCTCTACTTATGAATTTGTAACAACTACTATTTGAATCTTTAGCCGAATCTGGAATGAGACTTGGTTGTCAAGCTTCTTCTACAAACCATGCAACTATGAGTTATTCGTCAAGCAATCTCTTAATATGGAAATGGCTATTGTCATGGCAAGAGTATGTTGTTCTTTCTTCCGTTCTGAAACTTTTTCAATGGTCTATGCACAAACACGACTCTATGAAGTTCTTGATATTGTCTATTTATTTCAAGGAAGCTCATATGGAATGGATTATTCATCTGGACACAGACGAGTTGATTCATCCAGCGGGCACTCGTGAATACTCTCTCAGACAGCTTTTATCAGACTTGCCCGAAAATGTCGATATGGTTGTATTTCCAAACTATGTAAGTTTTCGGGTCGCTCCGTTTTGGTGCTTGACTTATAATTTTGACCGTAAGAAGTTTGTACGAGTGATGTTCATTATAACCCCTTATTTTCACCTCATTCTTTCAGGAGAGCTGTGTTGAACGAGACAACATACAGGAACCTTTCAGTGAGGTATTCATCTATGCCTGAATGAATGCTTAATTTACAATTTAATGTGTTAAAAGGACAATATGAAGGACATCTGAATACAACTAACGGTTGAAACTTGAAACTAGTTTTATAACGCATAATCAACCAAGTGTTTCATACTAAACTCAAGGCCAAAACACCTCGAATTCAGTCACAAAACTCAAAATTGCAAACTATGCATCATTCACTTCACTCTATAAACAAAAAACTAAGCCATTGCTATAAAACCAAATCATAAACCCCAGAAATGCAGGAACGAGTACTTGTATCTCATGCATTACGTATCATGTGGGTGTGGTTTGCGTTTGAAAAGATGCTAACTTTGAATGTGGCATACATATGTAACCTCAACAAAGGAACATCATAGAAGTATCTAAAACTGTTGGGAGTCCCACGTCGACCGACATGGACCATTTTATCTTTATATGTATCAGAGTTAGGCTCGACACTTTTGGACAATATGTGCCCGTCTGGCTCCCTCTTAACACTTTGGACAATTTGTGTCTATATGACTCTGTTGGAGAGGGTGTGTTGGAGTCCCACATCGACTAGACTTGAACCATTTATCCTCAATATATGTTGGAACCTCCTTTGTCTCTTTAAGGCCTCTTTTGGAGAGTAATTTGATAAGGTTCCACACATCCTCACAATAAATCATACCAAAACAAAAACGCCCATTCAAAGTACACCTGAGCTTCAACTACACTCATTTCTATTTCTATTTTTAGATAAACGGGTGTGTATTGTGTCACACCCACACTTGCATATGGAAATATAATGAGAAGTCAAACCGCAACAAGAAAGAAACTTGGTAACAAAATCACTGAAAAAACACAAAGTATATCCTCCCACAATCGTCAAAGTCACAAAGCCATGATGTTAAAACTAAGATTGAGGCTATAGCAAAGAACACCCTCTAGATCTGAAGAACTGGTAGGTGTTATTGATCAGATAAACACTCATGTTTTACTGCAGGTTTCGATGTTCAAAAAAAACTATGACCACCTTATGAAGGAAACATACTTTGGCAATTACAAAGATGCAACTCGTGGTAATCCAAACTACTTTTTGACATATGGAAATGGGAAGGCGGGAGCTCGTATCCAACCGCATTTGCGTCCTAACGGTGCACATAGATGGCACAACTATATGAAGAATCCAAAGTATGACCATTTTCTTATTTTCATAACACACTGTTCGTTACCACTACTTTTTTACGCATTCTAGTAACTTTATTAGATGTTTGTATTTAGTGAGTACAAATTGGAGGAGGCTGCTGTTCTACATTATACCTACACCAAGTTTTCAGATTTGACATCGAGGCGTGATCGATGTGGCTGCAAGCCTACAAAAGAAGAGGTTAAAAGATGCTTCATGTTGGAATTCGACAGAGATGTGAGTATTGATGCTTCTCCTTTATGTGTTTGCTTCTTCTGTCTTCTTTTTTATCTTAATATTTATAATATATGTGTTGTTTGAAGGTCAGTAGTCATCTCTTAAATCTACTTCCCCATCAAAACTGCAAATTTCAATCTTGATGTCTCATGAAACTTGCAACATATTGGTTTTTGGTAAACTTTAAAGCCAACAACTTTTTTGCCCTCATCATCATCTTTGCAAATTATTGGTGCTACTTATTCTAGTCTAAATGTTCATCTGTTTTGTCATTATTCAGAGGCATTTTTGACATCTGAGTGACATTCAAATACTCAATTGTCTCCAAAAATCATAATCAACAACCACGTTTTGATTCTTTGTGAGATTTTTGTTAAAACTAGAACTACAGGTTCATGTTTAGACAGTATATATAGATGTGTATATTACAGGAAAGTTTGGTTGAGAACCTGTTTTTTTTAGAACCAGGGAACTTCCCATGGCACGGCACATGTCCCTCTTCAGGATGAATATTCATCATGAATAACACATACATTCATGATGAATATGGATGTATTATTCATCATGCATCACACATTCATGATGGAGATGTGATAAATTCATAATGAATAACACGTCCATATTCCTGAAGAATATGTCAGGTGTCGCACTATTAGAGAGAGAGAGAGAGAGTTCAATTGCAAACTGATTTTCAGCTTTAGACCGGGGGACAAAGGAGAGCACGCCACGTGTCCCCGACGTCCGCATTCAGTATGAATAATGAAGAAGGTGAAGTTCATGAACTATTCATGATGAATAATACAACATTCATGATGAATAACAACAATCATGATCCATCTTAAATTGATTTATTATTCATGAGGTATATACACATTCATCATCATTCATTATGAATAACCTGTGTGGATGCAGGGACACATGTCGCGCTCTCCTTTGTCCCCCGTTTCACAACCGAAACTTGGTTTTCATTTGAACCCACCGCTATACACACACACGTGTGTGTGTATATACATACTAGAAGGGTACTCGCACAATGTAACTAGATACATCTCGATTTTAGTGTTTCGTTTTTTTTGTCTTAGCCGATGTTATAATACGGTTTTATGTGGTTTTGAGAAAGAGATAATGTTTTTATTGTTGAATAAAATATAAATATGAAGATATCATAAAAAAATATTGATATTAGTATCAAACTAACTATTTAAAATTTCTCGTTTTTTGTGTATTTCTTTAATTAATTATTTTTATTTTTGGTTTAATAATATAATTTTTTTATAAAGATAATAATTAAGTATTTTGTTAGAACTCGATGATTATCCTAATTATATTTTAGTTTTTTTATATTTAAAATGAAATGTTTATCCTCTATTTGATTATGTTTATCTGAAGTTAGTTACACAAATTCAAACATGAAGCTTTAATAAGTTGCACTTACGCACAGTTTACTTGTAATCTTGAATTTTAAGTAATATGTATCAATAAACAGTACTTCATGCATATAAAATGGTTTTTAAGAGTTTTTGTCAAATGCTTTATAATATTGTATAGATATGGTCTTGGTGATTTACATGAATGTGGATGATTCAGATTAGCAAGTTATGTGGGCTGATCATCTATCATATGGTATAAAGTAATCCTTATGAGCGTCTTTTGCTGCAGGCTTTTATAATTGCATCAACTGCAACGGAGGAGGAGATGCTAAATTGGTAAGAACTATTACCAAGTTTTCTTTCATAATTTGAACTAATCAAGATGAGATTCCATTTTGATCTTCAATTGTTCACCATTTGTAGAAAAGCAACAAATGTTCATAGCCCATGTCAAGATCTGAGTAATTGGAATTCTAGTTCTATAATAGTTGTCATTCTTTCACGTTTGAAGTCAAAACCAATTACTAGGCTCATATCGCCTTGGTTCACTTAAGCTTCCCAAGCTATCGTGCCAGAGCCATACTATGCTCATACAGTCATGCTCAACTCAGATAGTTATAACACTTAAGCATGCTGGTCAAGTTACATAGCTTTGGCTCGCCAAGCTTTTTGATGAGCCGGCTCGTTTTGTCTATACCCCTAGATTGTGTGTATCATTAACACACTAATGGTGTTTGATGTCCCCTTAATAAGTTGAATCAGTTCCACCTCTGATTCGATCAGAGGTGAAGGCTATTTGTTAAAAAGAACCATATCCCTCTTAACCAGCCAGGACCAAATGTCATGCCATTCCTATTTAGAGGTCCTTTTTGTCAACAGACTCCCAACCATTGGTCTGCTGTCCACACCTTCATTCACCACAGTTGCTTCATCAGCTTTGAAACCAAACCAAACGAAACCAAACGAAACGTACCTAGTAGGCCCCACCCAAAGATAGGGTCCCGCGGTGGGAATAGGATGTATGTAGACCTTGCCTTTCCTATACAGTCCCTCTTATTACAAAACCCTCCAAACTAGATTCACCAATATAGTTGAAGAAATCGCCTGCGACAGATTAAGGTTAAGTTCATTTTTTGTTATTCAGAACATTTATGAAGTATACATTTTTATTAAATACTTGATCAAGATCGAGCCTCAATCAAACATGTCTCTTATTCATACAACACTTAAGTTGTTTGTTTACCTCTTAATAGTTCCATTAAGAGGCAGCATCTGAATCATTAAGAGGTGAATCTTGTTTGGCAAAAAAAAGTCTGCCTCTTAATGGTTCTAAAACCCTCTGAATGATTTTGTATGCTGAACCTCCCTTAACCATTAAGCGCCCTGATTTCATTGTAAACAATTACCAAACAATTATTATTTTGTTTTGCACTATATCATGAAAGCCACTTAATCATTTTGACCACTTAATCATTCTGCACAAAACCATAAGTTTTACCAAATATGCCATAATGTTATGATCTTCAGGTACCGCGAACATGTTGTGTGGATGGATAAAGATCTAAACAAGAAACTCATGAAAAAGGGAATTTTAACCCGCATTCATGCTCCTATGGTATCTCCTTTTTTGCCTTCCTTTTCTTCTTCTGATTTTCTTCTACAGTTTTATTTGCTTCATAATATATTCATATGTGAATAGGTGATTATGCAAGGATTAAGGGAAGCTGGCGTTTACAGTTCTTTAATCGAGTCCGTCCAAACAAGTTCATGGAGGGACCCATTTTCGTCATCCGACGAGATTATTAGTAATTCATCAAAAGCTATCGACGCAGCAGGCGGTGTTTCTTCTAGAAAAATTGGCAATAAAGAACCTCGAATAGGTATTAGGAGTGTTCTACAAGCGGCTGATATAGATTTATCGGCAATGCCACCACTCTCGCCTCCGGTCATGGATGATATCCATCGTTATACATGATCTTCACTTCACCGGAGAAAGTGAGCTTGACACAGTTTTGTAAAAGTTATGTCTAAATAAAAGCGTTAATTTGATGATTATACAAGCTTCAATTCGCTGATCATTCCCATTTTCATTCCCTAATACGAACTAAGCACCCCCACGCGTATACCATAATCATGGTGGCCATTGGCCCTCGCGTGTACTCTCCGCTCCTTTGCTCAAATAAATCAACAATGTTCACAAGCATATAACAATGAGCACCACCAAATTTAACATTCCACCTTGATACTTAACACTCACATCCAAATTGTTCACACACTAACGAGTTTTCGCATTAAGTCATGACCAGTTAAACGATAGAACCAACATGATCCTCAATGAATATATATATATAGAGAGAGAGAGAGAGGGGTTAAATCATGAGAGAACCATATAAAAGTTGAGGACTGTAAGGACCGATCTCAAAATGCCATTAAACATGGTGGCATTTTTTTGTAATGTTACTAAAATTTTTGGAAGTTTGAAGGTAAATTTGTAATTTGGGATCTCAAAGACAATATGTAGGGTGTTCATGGGTTGGGTTGAAGACATTTGAACAACCCAACTCAACCCAATGCTTGCTGTTTGAAAAATCTTAATTCAACCCAATCTAAACCAAAGTGCAACCCGACCTAACCCAACCCAACCCGTACGGTTTGGTTGGGTTAGTCGAGTTGGTTGGAGTGATACTTTGGTACATTAAAATATTATTCTAACCTTGAATATGTTATTTTCTCTACTCATTATTTCTTTTTCATCGTCAACCATTTGATACAACTTATCCATATTTCTTACGTATATCACATTCAGTTAATTTTCTCAATTTACATATATACGTTCACAGTTATCGAACATGTATATAAATGAGTTATATAGAGATGTGAATAGATTGAAAACATGTGTATATGAAAAGTATACATGATAATGTAATTGTTTAATGTATGTATTAATAGAAATTCTAACAATCATATTAAACCCAAGAAATAAAAGGATATCGGTTCATCGCGTTAGGTTGGGTTCAAATAATAGTAACCCAATATCAACTCATTACCTACGGCTTGACACTTTTACAATAGACATTGGGTTGTTTCTGGTTGGGTTGGTCGGGTTTTGGAGCACCCCTACCGAAATGTATCCATCTCCGTGTAGGTCGAACACGCTAAACACCTCCGTCAGATCGGCCTCCTCCTGTTTGCTACTATCACAACTGGCAACCTCATCCTGATCTTTATCTCCGATCGCTTGGTTGCGGAGATCGTGTAGGTGAAAGAACAGATCGTCGGTAGATCTGTGTAACGCCTGGAAATCATCGTAAGTCAGGACAACTTTTCCGGGCAGGATAAAGGAGTTGATGATGGAATCCAACTCATCCATGTTGCTATCTAGGCCAAGGAAAATTAGGGCACGACTGAATTCTTCAACAATGATGAGATTATCATGATTGGTGTCGAAAAGGTCAAAGATCGTAGACGAAATTGTTTTTTTTTTTTAATATTAATCTGGATATCCAACATGTTATGCGAACCGACTAATCCTAGGACGACCATCCGACTAATCCCAGGACCATCATCTGCTTTGCAGATAGCCCAAAGTCACATATTTTGAACATCTGTGGCCACAGTCCACAAGGGATTTTTATTAATTTGATGAATCTCTGTTACGAAAATGATGATTATGTCATTTTCTAATTAAAAACAACTTTCAATTAAAACCATATGATCAAAACCAAATTAGGGCTTAAATCGATTTTAAAGGTTCTCAACTTTTTGTGGTTCTCGTTTGATCTGCTAGTAAAATGTTTGTTATTGTTCAAGCAATTATGAATAAAGACATTGGAAAACAACACGACAACATTGAGAGATTAAAATTGTTTATGGTGACAGTCGGAGTTTGAGATCGGGAAGTGATGTAAATAATCAAAGCGAATGTCTTGGTAATTATTAACACAAATTGATATGCATGACACAAATTGACATGTAGACACCCATATGAACACAAATTGACATATATGGATACTTGTGACAATTATGAACAGAAATTGAACATATATGTGAACACTTGTAATAATTATGAACATAAATTGAACATATATGAATACTTGTGGCAATTATGAACACAAATTGAACATATATGAACATTTGTGGCAATTATGAACACAATTGAACATATATGAATTCTACTGTTTGTAACCGATGTCATTTAATGCACATTATCTTACATAAATACCATTCAACAATTATGTTTATATATGTTTGTGAGATTACACATTTAATAAATTAAATTTATAATATAATTAATCTCTAACCATTTGTTTTAAAAATCAATGGTCATGATTAATTCATAAAGTTAACACAATAATTAAGGTTAATAAATGAACTTGTCCCTATATATATATGTGTGTGTGTGTGTGTGTGTAAGTATATATGTATGTATGTAAGTGCGCTTTCATTTACAAATCCAACCACCAATATAAACCATACAAACAAATCTCAACCGTTCATCTAGTCTAATTAGTATTTAATTCACTTAATATATATTCATTGTTTGTTAATATAAAACGTTGATCATAATTTCTTTTATAAGTATCCAAATCATAATAATAAACCTTCACCATTTATATATCTCAATTAATTGGTTTTTGTGGTTTGTAATAATGGTTAGTTTTGTCAAAAAAAACTCTGATCTCTCCCCCTCCCCTCCCCCTCCCCCCCTCTCTCTCTCTCTATATTACATAGAGTCTATAGGCGAAAAAAATTATGATGAGAAACATAAGAATAACCCTTAATCACTTTTAATCTCATGTCACCTATGAATTATGATTTAGAAGAGAATTGATCTGGTGCATCTCATTAGTGTTGACATTTAATTAAGATTGATCCAAGGGTCCAGATCTTACGCTTCTCACAAAAACTTCTTTTCTCATCGGAACTCATACACACACACATATATATATATATATATACACACACACACGCAATGCAAACACATAAACAAAAACAAGACGTCGTCAGTCGCCTGATTCAACGAAGCCTTCCCCAACTTAGGTCCCTCCTCTTCAACGTCACCAATTCACCTTTGACTTCATAGTTATTGTCAACTACAACCATCGTCCCTTCTGAAAAGCCGTATTCCTGTCTTGAAATCCACAACCTCTTTTTGTGTGGATACACATACACACACACACACTACCCTCGAGCTAACTGGATTAGTAAATTTGTTTAACATTGATGATTGTAATCTTAATCATAAGAAAATGAGTACCATAGAGACCATATATATATATATATAGAGAGAGAGAGAGAGAGAGAGAGAGAGAGAGAGAGAGAGAG